AAAAAACTTGCAAAGGTTTGGAAACCCTCCTCCAAAAGGCAGGGAAGGAAGGAGGCATCAGCGAGTCCCAGCTGATCCATGACCCCAGTCAGTCCGGTGTCCTCACAGCCCCATCCATCAGGCTCAGTTTCCCTGAGCCCATGGCTGCTAAGCAGGCACCCGGCTGGGTAAAGCTCCCTGGCAGGGCAGGCGCCCTGCTACAGCTCCTCTTCCCAGCCAAGTCACAGGACTCCATAAAGGGCAGTGAAAGGGCGAGTGTTACAGCACTAACAAGGCTTGATCTGCCCCTTGGAAAACAGAGAAAAATCAACCCCCAGGCAGCAGCGGTAAAAACAGCACTGTCCCTGACTGGCAAAGTATTCCCAGGAACAACTTCATAGTCCTAAACACGGCCACTTTTGTTCTTCCATACCCTACCTGCCCTGCAAGGTTGCTACACCTCACGGCCAGGAGTGAGTCCCACACCCTAAAATCCAGCCTCAACCTGCTGCTGCTGCCCTGGCATGTACCAGCAGCAGCTGCAGGCAGCAGGGAGGAGGAGGAGAAGGGAAAGGAGGTGACAGGGATTGGGAAGCAAGGGCTGGCATCCAGGGGGGGCCTCTGCCTTCCTGCCACCGGGCAGCAGCAAGAGATCCATAGAGAGGGATTGCAGGGGAATACAGGGGGAAAAAATACAAGGGAAGGTGAAGCCAAGTTAATTACAACAGACTGCTGCACCCACCTCGTTGGGCATGAGCAGCTCAGTTGGAAAAACTCAGCTACTGCTGCAAGACCTTCCCTGGATGCCTGCCTTCACCAGGTCCTTGAGATGCCAAGCCAGCAGCATATTTTGGGCAAAGGAAGGACTCAAACACTGCACTGCACCCCTCACACCAAGGTCCTGCTCCTTGGAGACCCTGCCCACCTCAGCATAGGACTGCAAGAAAAACATCACAAGCCTTCCTTTGGGAAGCTGAGGCCTGGACCTGGCTCAGGATTTGGGGTAAAGCAGGGTGCAGTGACCAAAATTACAGTGACTGATGGGCATCCGTGGAGCCAAGGGCAGCAGCTCGGGGAGCTCTCAAGAAGCCACCAGTGTGCCACAGCCAGCCAGCGAGTTCGAGCACCGTGGCCTTCCAGGATCCATGTGTGCCAGGAGCCCTGGGACAGGCATGGGCAGGAGGCAGCAATACCAGCTGGAGCCTAACTGGAAAGGTCTAAAGGTTAAACCTACACAAGGCACGATACACGGTGTGCCCATGTCCACAGAAATACAACTCAACTGGGAGAGAAGGGGGGAGGGAACAGCTTGGAAAATGCTGCCAGGAAAGTTTATGTGGATTTGCTCCATTTCCCCTCTGTAGCTGTCTTAAAATGTTTGAGCTGCTGTTAGCAATCCATCACCTCCTCTTGTTTCCCAAGGAATTTGGGAGGACAACCCTTAACTGTTCAACTTTTCATCAGTAGCAGCCAGTCCCACTGGCCAGGGCAACAGAACACAGCACCAGGCTCCTCTGGACCACAGCACTCCTGTCTGTGTTACCCCAGTCAGCTCTGCAGCCGTTCAGAAGTGTTAACTGAAGGGACACTACATCCCCATGCTCACAAGCAGCTTATAAGTCATACTGCTCCAAAGCAGTTTCCAAAGCCAAAAAATGCAATGCATTAAAAAATAAAAAACAATCTGCACTTTATGTATCTCAAGGGGATGCAATTGTTTGGATGGAAAATTCAGAAGAAATGAAGGAGAGGCAATTTAAGCAGTCATATTGCTGGAGTTATGGCAAATTGGTAGTGGCAGCTTCAAAACATGGGGACAGATCCTGTGTGGCAGAAGTTCCCTTCACCTGCAGTGGGAGCCAAGACCAACCTGTAACAGCATCCGCAGCCTACACCCCGAGGTGGGGGGAGTCTTGAATGGGAGCAGAAAGCCAAAATGGGCTGCAAAATGGCAGCAATTCAGCGGCAGCTGCTGCTAATCGAGAAGCAAAGTTCATTTCAAGGAGATTATAGTAGCCCCTGTCAAACCGGGGAGGTCTTTTTTTTCAATCTTTATGAATACAGTTCCGACACCAAAGCACAGTTCTAGTTAAGAAAGAACTTGTCTTCTAACCCTGTTTTCACTGACTTATTTATTGCCTTCCCTAGCTTAAATAAATAAACAAACATATAGACAATTATGTCTTTTTGGGGCCTGAAGTCACATAGATTCACTCCCTTCTTCTAGGATTGAAAGATTTACAAAAGCCTGAAGAAACCTCCTCAATCATTTTTATTTAAAAAAAAATACAGAAAAACCAATAATTCCTCAGAATGAAAAAAATCAAAGTAAGCTTTATGAGTTCTAACTTTTTTTTTTTTTTCCAATCAGGTCGTTAATTCAGTTGCTGAGGTGACAGACACATATATAAGGCTTTCCAAAGATGTGGCGAACACGTAAAGCTGTCACATATTGTGGGCAAAACACTGCTGGGTGTCACTGGTGCAAAAAGAGGGGGTGAGGGCTCACACCCTTTCTCTGCCACAGTAACCCAAATCTCGGTGTATTTTCAGGAGTTGGGCTCTAACCCGGATTAATTAATTCAAGATTTACAACAGTACAACTAAGCAGCATCTAATCCATGTCCTTTGGAAAGTTAACCCTCAGCTAAGCCCCAGCCGCTCTCAGCCGAGGAGGAGGAGACACGGACCCGGAGAGGAGCCGGGACCTCGTTCAGCCGAAGCTGCTCGCAGCTCCCCTTTCATTCGCAGTGAAACTACTCTGATTCACTCCCTGTGTGGAGTGAGATGCTGCTCGCATCTCTGCCGTGCTGTCACTCCGGGGGCTCAAACCCGACACAGAACGGCGCGATTGCACGGGCACCCTCGTCCCAGCCCGGCCGGGGCTCCAGCCCTGCCCGAGCCTGCTCTGCCACCACAGCCAGCCGCCAAAGCCCCCGCGTTAACCGGGCTCGCCCAGCCCGCGTACGCCAAACACGGATATCCAAGTCTGCTCCGCCCTGGTTTCAGCCCGGACAGGACCGAGCCCTTCTCTTTTAGGGCAGAGCTCGGGAGCCCGGCGTGATCTACGGGGGAAAGGAGCCGCCGGTCCCCCACCCGTGACACGAACCACGCGTTTCGTTTCCTTGGGGCGCACCGGTTCCCCCGCTCCGCAGGGCCGGGAGCATGGGATGCTCCAAGTTGGCGGCGGGACAAAGGGCCGGTACCCCCGGCCGAGGCACCCCCGACGGCCGCAGCCCCCGGTGAAGGGGGGCAGGGGGGTGCGACTGGGGCTGCCGCTGTCCGAGACCGAGCGGAGGGAGGGGACGGGGAAGACCAAGCCAGGGGCTACGGAAAGGACCTTAGTGCCCGCCGCCCACCCCTACCCCCCACAAAGGCACAGGTCCAGTACCCCAGTACCCAACTTGAAGGGGAACGCAATGGGGTGGAGGGTCCCGAAAACCGCCGGGAACTTCTTCCCCGGGCGGCGGCGGCATTGCGCCCAAGTCGCGCCGGAGCAGCCGCGGCCCCGCCGGCCCTTCCTTACCTCCGGCGTGTGTCCCTCGGGCTCCGCCGCCTCCAACTTCCACCGCGCCCCGAAGAAGAAGAGGAGGAGGGCGGCGAGCCACAGCACCCCCAGCAGAGACAGCGCCAGCCGCCGCGTCGGCCGCCTCATCCTCGGGAGGAGGGAAAAGTCCGGCGGGGGCACCGGGAGGCGCTGCCGGGGAGCCGCGGACAGCTCGGGGGGCGGCGGGAGCGGGGCTGGCGGGGAGGACGGTCTCGCCCGCCCGCCTCGGAGCCGGCGATGCGAGTCCCGGGCTGTGCATGCTCTGCAGGGGAGGGGAGGGGAGGAGGGACGGGAGGAGGAGGCGCCGGGAGGAGGGGGGCTGGAGCCGGAGCCGCTCGCCGGGGAAAGGTGCAGCGCGCAGGCAGCCGGGCTGGTCCCCGGGGAGCTGCTGTCCTGCCCTGCCCACTCCGCGCCGGCGGGGAGGCAGCCCCGGGGACGGGGACACGGAGGGACATGGGGGTCTCCGTGTGTAACCGGGGACGCCCATCCCTCTGCCCTGCCTCCGTGAGTGAGTCCGGGCCCCTGGCACGGGAAGGGATGCGCGGGGCTGGCCAGCGCCGCTGCGAGTTTGGCCCGGGTCGGTCCCGGTCCCTGTCCCCACCCGACTGCGGGGCGGGAGGAGGCCACCGTTCAACAACACACAGAGGAGGCTCAGACATGATGGGAAGATTAATTTAACCAATTGAAACAGCAGGGGGAATTCAGGTAGGTGGAATTTAATTACTGGATTTGGAAGAGAAGATGTGTGTCTCCAGAGCTGTCAAGAACACTTAAAAAATAAAATCATAATCATCAGCTGTTGGTATTCCGGCAGCAGCTTAGTGCCGGGCCATGGTTCTGCAAGGACGGCCCTCAGCCGTCATCCCTGTCCCGTGGGGCGTTCCTTGCTGGCTCCATACACAGCCCCAGCACAGCAGGCCTGTCCACACAGGGCAGCCAAAGTGGGAACTACAGACGTTGCTGAGGAGGGAAAAAACCACCTAACACAACTACAGAGTAGGACTCCGGAAAAGAGCTGTCTCACCCAGCTATTCCTGCTCACCTGCCTGAAGCTGTCTCACTCAGCTATTCCTGCTCACCTGCCTGAAGCTGCTCTTCCGATCTTGCCACTGACAAGTATTACATGAGCTGAGCAAATCTTTGCAGAAGACATTAGAGAATAAATCAAGTATTGGAGCAGATGTGAGTCATTCATGTTAGTATAAAAACTATAGAACAAACCCCATAAAAACAGGAATCCATGCATAAAGTAACATATGGAATGAAATAGAGATAAGATGTCAAATGCTGGAAAGTCCAATGCGCATGTTGTAAACAACCTCTCCTATGCATTTCCCACACACTTCTCCTGGCTTTATTATTTCCTGCAGTTGTTTTCTGTCACTTGCTAATTTATCATTTGCGATCTTCATCCTCTGTCCTCCTCTGATTTATTTCCAGAGCTCAATAAGCCCTTCTCCCTAACATAATCCATGCCTCTCAGGCCCAACATTCACAGAAAGATGCCCAGATAAAAATTTCATTAGCATCCACAAAAAGGGACATTTCTCTTTCTTTGTTTTAAAGCCGTGTGACTTTGAAACACCTTTACCAGAACGAGGAAATCCAGGTCCAGCAGGCAGGTAGTTTGAACATTGTTTTATGGCCAAGCAGGAGAAGAACTAACCAGGTGGGAAGAGGGCAGAAAGCTCTCATTCCCTGGTGAGCCACCACCCTGATGTCACATGGGAAGCCCACACAACCTGAAAATGCAGCCTGTTCCCAGGGTGTGCATCCTTTGTCATGCCAGTTAACCTTCCTCAGCCCAGTTTTCAGGGTAGCTGGACCATCACACTTCACCTCTGCCACCATGAGACATCTCTGCCCAACCTAGTTGGGACCTACAGGTGCTGCTCTCTCCCCAAACTGTTGCCTTATGCTTTTTCCTGGCAGCCTAGGTAAAACACCTGAGCAGCTTTCAGCAGCTGAGGCACATCAGTGGTAGTTTTTACATGGCTTATAGTTGTTTTCTTGCTGTCCTGCTCTTGGGACAGACTGGTTTCTACTTCTCACATACCTCCTTTGGATCAGGAATAGCTTTCTGATCAAAAAGATCACCTTGCCACAAGTAGAAAATAGCCATGGGTGTTTTCCTGCCTGGGACAAAATGACCTTGGCTGCTGTTAAACAGTGTTCCCCCAACACATTTTCAGAGGGTGCTGAGTTTTTCCTACCAGACCTCCCTCTGTGCAATGAGAGTTTTTTTCAGATAAAGGCACCTGGAGGGTGTCATCATTCAAAGCTGGATTAAAAACCTTGTCTTTTTTGTAGGTCAGACTTTCAGGGGAAGCTATTACCAAATACAGAGGGGAAGTATAGAAAATATCAAGGAAATACATTACAAATTAGATTACAGGTAAGGTAATAAATAGGACATACCTGACAAAAATGCAATCAGATAATGCTTTCTTATTACCTTGAGAAACAACTCCCTCTGCTGAGGGAAAGCTTCACTGGCAGGGCTCGGTGCCGTGATGGATAACTCGCTGTGCTCGGCAGAGAACGGGCAAAGGCTCGATGCTTCCCTGCTGGCACTGCCACCACTCCAGCCGGGAAGGGGGACGCTGTACAAATCCCCGCTCTGTGCAACTGTCCCGTGTGGAGGCAGGAGACCCGAGGAGCTCCAGCAATGCGTCGTTCACAAGGAAGCATATTCCTCCTGACAGTGTGCCTGTGTGCTGGGATAGATAATATATCAAGCAGATGATGGTAACAGCTATTTAAACAAGAATAAGGCAAGAATACAAATCTGGAGGTTCAGAGTTATTTGAAGTCGTAGACTTTCAGAGACTTGTATACAAATCCTACTGCAATTCCATTAAAAACATTGCAATAAAAAAAAATCTTCTGTTGTATTATTGACCCATATCTTTCCCAGTTCTTTAATTTTTTATCTGCCAATCTCAGCTGCTTCACAAGTGAGGTCCATAACATATTACCTGTTTCCAACACAACAAAATTTACAGGCAGTACAGCCAGAGACAGAAAAACAATCTAGAAAATGGGTGGCTGGCATTTGTTGGTATCAGCATTGAAAAGATTATGAAAATTATTGTTTCATGAAAGGAAAAAGAGGACATGATTTCTGAGTGGGAGGGGGACTCTTCACAACCACAACTTCGGACAATGGCCCTTCAGGTCCTTTAAGGAATGGGTGGAATGGAAAGTACCTTTCCTTGCTGTTTCAAGGACATCGGTAAAGCACATTTCAAGAGAATTTAATCCCACTGGGTCTACAAACCAACTGGACACTGCTTCAGTGCAGTTTTACTAGGAATACTCTTGGGTTTGAGTTCAGTTCACATCTGAGATTCCATTCACAGAGTGTTTCTTTTTTCCAAAAGGATCACAAATACTTTGCAGTTTTTTCTCAGAAAGTTGAAAGGGCCTTACACAGATACAGTCAAGAAGTGATCAGAGGAAAAGATCAAAATCCACCCCCAACTTGGGGATACTGAGGAATCTCAACTGAACATGGGAGGTTATTATAATATGGAGGAGCCCCACTGAGCTCTGGATGGAAAGGGGCTTCTAGGACAGAGAGTTCCACTGCCAGGGGAGGATCTGGTTCAGTTGGTGGCTTGGGGTAGCCCAGCACTCAGTGCTGCTCATGGCAGTGCACCATCCCCATGAAGAGGTACTGCTTGCAGTAGCACATCTATCAGAAAGACTTTTGTTTGTTTCCAATAAAAGATCAGCGTTTGAACGGGTCAGCATGGTGACAGGATATAGGGGGCTGGATTTCATTCAGTGGTGCCTCTGTGGTGCACGCTCCGGGCTCAGGGGAAGACACTCTTTCAGAGGTTTCTCTCCCATCCTGGCAGAAGGTGTGCTACTGTGCTCCCAAGTAACTGCTTTGGCAAGTGCTGAGCATTGGCCTGTTTCAGCAGGAGCCCAGCTGTCCCTTGTCACCAGCAGCAGAGATGCCAGCTGGGGTGCAAAAGCTCCAGGACAACAAGCCAGCACATGCCCTGGCTTAGCACCACCCCACAGCCCCAGCCTGCTCCCAGAGATGACTCAGAACCATTTCATACCCCTCTATGGGTGGAGCTGTGCTTCAAATGTGAGCAGTCATGTCAGTGACTTCCAGGTTTATATTTAATATGTGAACAAAGTTCCGTTTTCCAATCTGTAGCTGTCCAAAAAGCCTCATTTGGTCAGTGTGAGGAGAGGAAGGGCAGAAGTCCTTTGCACACACAGGAGCAGGGAGGTTGTTGCTTTGCTATGGGGGTCCCCAGCTCTGCTGCACTTGACACCACCATGCTGTGGTCCTGTGGAAAGCTGCTGCAGAGGTGCAAGTGTGTGCTGAGCTGGTGGTTCCTACCTACAGCTACCATCTCACAAAGCCCTCAGCGCTGTGAGGGCAGCAAAGGCTCTCTGCCACCTCAGGCAGTACAGCTTCTGTGATGGCTGTTGAAGACAATGTGAACAGTATTCCACATTTTCGTGGCAGGCAAGATCTGCCATTGTTTTTGTGTTGTGACAGAAGCCAAAAAAATCAGACCAGTACTTATATGAAAAGTGATCTCCCTCTGTGCCCTTGGAGAAGACCAAAACTGTTAGAGAGAGCTCTGGTCTAATACAAGGAGAATTGTAAGTTAAAGTATTAAAAAAACAAACCAAAAACTTTTTATTGGCTGTCTCCTCTCCCTTGCTGAGGTAACAGAACTGTAACTTGTCCTACATCTGCAGCTTAAATGGGAGGGTCAAACTGAAGCTGTGAAGCACTCACCTTCTCCTCTGGGGTGATGATATCATTGTGCACCTCCTCACCTACTGCTGCACTCAGAAAGGGAAATGCAGAAGTTCCTGCAGGCTTTTTGCTCTATCAGTTCTATCAGTGTTGCAAGCAGATCTCTTCCAGTACCTCTAAAGGATTTTTTTCCTTTTAATTAAACCGCAAGCATTCTTCTCTAGCAAACTTTCCACAATGGCATCTCCAGTTAATTAAACGTTTAAGCTGTCAGGAAATGCTATGCATTAAAAAAAATAAAATAAAGAGGAGAGCTACTTTAATAGCATTTGTTAATTGAAACTCTCATCAAGTCAGCTGCAGCAACAGAAGCTGC